CGCGTTCTCAGAGGCTCTCCTCGGATTCGGTCTCAGACTCTTCGACCTGGACCTGTTTCTCTTCTTGGACTTTGGGCCGGAGCCTTCCGTCTGGGGCAAAGCAGAGGTGCCTGAGCGACCTGTTCTGTCCTAGTCGCTTCTTGCGCAGGACGGGGCTGCAAAGGCGCAGAAGCTCGCAGCGGTTGTGCCGGAATAGCACGGGCAGCTTCGGCCGTCTTCCCTCCTCAATCGAGGCAAAATAAATGGTGCTCGGCGGGACTGCTCGGACTCTTTGGGGGCATGGTCTCTGTATTTAAGCTCGTCAGTAAGGGAATTTATTCCACGACCAGAAAGAGACAGCATAACTTACCTTCTAGGGGTTCTAACGACGCCTTGTCGCTGAAAAAACCGTACTTCGCAGGTTCGCAGTCGTCACAAGCTTCCTCGCGTCCCGTGTTCTCGTCCAGTACCCCGAAAGATACAAGTCTGTCTGGATCGGCGAGTAGCTTTTCCTCGGTCGTTCTATTGAATGCAAAAGAAAACAGGTCGTTATTAGGATCAAGCGAGCAGATAGCTAACCCAGCGAAAGAAAACTACTTGGATCCTGAAAATGGCAGTGGCCGTTATAAAAGAAAAAAGAAAAACTTTGTCTCGTAGGCCCCGCATTGCTGGGATAGCTGTGTATCCCCGTGGTAATGGTAGGTCGCCGAGACAAATAGTACGAATCCTTGTCCTACTCTTCTTCAGGTAGTAGGCGACGCCGAGCTCCACCGCCGTTGGCTCTCCAAGCCGTTTCGCAGCACGTGATGTACATCGCGACAGCAAGACATACGCGTTTGGCGTCAACTGCATGGTGCGATCCCGAAATGATCCAGGACCGACCTGATGAAAGGATGGAAGGGAATCCTCCCTCAACCTTGAAGCTCTCAGAGATGCGGCAAGGCCGTCGGCCGGACGCCGTGCGCGCTAGTGTGGTCGAGGAACACCTCGAGCGGATGTCGAAATGCTCTTATTCTAGCATATTCCTCGGAGGTGAGAACCGAGTAGACATCGAGAGCTACGTCCTGGGAGCTCCCCGCGAGGGCGAGCTGGCTCCTTCCTGGGCCTGGATGTGACGGTTCATTCTATGCAACACGACAGACACGGTCATTTAGGCCTTCGTGGTTTGTCCCGTGCGGCGGCAAGGGACAAATACTTAAAACCTAGCGGTGATTCAAGCCGCCATCCACGGCTTGAATCCAATAACGCGTCGCGACTCGGTGAAACACCGGAAGACCCAACGTCGTGGTTCAACCAAACCAATGCAAAATGAAAAAAGGAAAGAACCTTACTCTGTGGTATATGGAGCTGGGGCCGAAACTCGTTTGGTTGCTGAAAAGGCCGATCGGGAGAGAATGATTCTTGGTTTGCCAAAGTTTGTCACTCGAAGCGAAGAAAATTTCGGTGACCTCATCTGAAAAATACAAAGTTTTTATATGGATTGCGAATCGACGGTTACCACCCTCGGAACCGAAACGGCAGTTCTCTCTTCTCGCATTAAATGCGCCCCACGTCGCATTAAATGCCGTGAAAAGGGGCGTCGTTTCAAACCCACGTCGCATAAATGCAGTAATAAGGGGTGCGTTTCAAATGTGTTACACAGTCAATGCTGTCAAAATGACGTCGGGTCATCATACAACGCATTTAAGTTGTCTGACAGATGCTGTAACGCGTGCAGAGCGCCTGACAGCGCAGAGCCAGGTTCATTGAACCTCTAAGGTATAGAAAGGAGCGTCGTCAAGTCCAGGTCACTAGGATGAAGATTGTCAGGGTCTTAGGCAAGGGGTCGCGCGAGATCGTGTTCGCTGCGAGTCTTGAGCCGAGCTCACCCCATCCAGGTCGGAGCGACCAAAGCCTCCAGTGTGACTTAGTTTCCAAGGCTCGTTCCTCGAACCTTAAAACTAGGAGGCTTCTTATTGCCTGGCAAAATAAAGGGCTGACGTGGGAAAATCGTGTGAAGGCGACCTGCTCCCGTCAGAGCAACACGCACAAGTCAGACCGCGCATGATATGGAGCTCACACGCGTCGTTTCCTGCAGCAAATCATGCGAAGTCAGCTTGGGAAGGGGAATGGGACATAAAGCCGGATTATATCCTGACAATCACACCAACCCATGGATTTAAGATGATTACACGCTTCAGTTTGATATAAAATGAAGAAGACCCCTCCATTAAGGGGATTCGGCCATCTTTACATAGAAAAAACTCTCTCTCTCTCTTGTAAAAGCACTTATTTTCATAACTCTTATGTACGTCAGTCCGTTTCGCGACTGACCCCACATAATATCAATACAAATCAGTGGACGTAGGACTTGCTACCTAGCATCCGAACCACTTTAAAAGTCTTTTTTGCATTATTTCACTTCATATATCCATTATCACGTGTGTTAATTCATCAAATAGTAATACCCACGTGACAATTGGTGGTGCCGAAAACGAGCATCAACAAAAAATAATCTGCTACAATGGGAGAGAAAAACCCTTCGTACTCTCTCTCTCAAACTAGTTCTCTGTAAATTTGTTTTTTTTTTTTTAATCATAGCTTGATTGAGGCTTCCAGCATGCATTTGCAGTTTCAATTCATGAGAGAATTTTACAATTAGAAAGTGTTAGATAGACAAACAGTTCAAAATTATTGATATATTTTTCAATAAATTCTTTAAATTATTATTTATTTTAGAATATTTATTCAGAGGTGATTATAAATAAACGAGAAAACATAAATTATATGTGACATGATATATTAACTGAAGATAAGATATAAATGTGATATGATATTATTAATTATAAGGTAGATATTTTATTTTACATCTTACTCAAAGATAGGAATGATAAAGGAATTAATGGATTATATTAAAACAAATTGATGGTGGAGAAGACTTTTAACAGACTGATTTATCCTTTATTTCTATTTTTTTTTTTTTTTTTTTATAATGTCACATAATTTGTATGAATATTTTTAATATAAATAGTTTGTATTATAATAATTAGTGTTAAAAGTACTAATCTCTCATTTAAACTAGGCCAAGCTGCCTGCAGGTTTCTAAAACCCAAGATTTTTTAGATAAATTATTAAATTTATAATATGTTTAACATTAGAAACATAATTTATGACATAAAACCATCATATAAAGAAGGATATAAAAAACCCAAAGTTATAATAAATCACACTTAAAAATAATAAATAATTTAGCAATTTTTAATTGAATGTTTTGGTATATATTTATTTAGAAATATATCTCAAGTTTGTTCTCTTTCATTTGTAAGTACGAGGATTAGGATGGACCGTAATGGGCCTAGCTCCATTAGAAGGTTGGGCCTAGTGGGCCTAATGTGGGCTAGGCCGAAAGTCCATTTAAATTTTAATCATTTTGGATCCTTATTAACTGGAAAAACAAAAAAAAAAAAACCCAATAACTTAAATTATTTGTGAAATTTTAATTTTTTTTTCCTAACCCTCAAAATATTTTACACCAGAAATATAAATCAGAGTATCATTTATCTTTCAAATCACACTGTCAATAAAATTAGTGAAGCTTTCTTTCAAAAAAAAATAATAATATAATAATAATTCGTTGACATTCTATCCATAAAAATAAATAAAATATTAATATAAATTAATAATGTTCCAGCCAAGCTTGAATATTGACATTTGTATTTAAATTTAAAAGAAAATGATAATTCTTGCAAACAGATATTTTGGAAACAAATGATTTATTTATATTAAAATATGTAAACAGATATTTATTAGAAAGGCTGCCTAACTTTGACTAAACTAATAATTTGATAAATCATTTTTCCAAACTTTAGAAATTGCCTAATTTAAATTCCTAATATCAATCACCAATTGGCTGCATTTCACTCTCATTTGTCTCTAATCAGATTTAAAATTTTCCTAACTTATGCTTTCTTTGACCATCAATACTAAATTAATTGTTTTATAATTGAAATATTTACTTCCAATTATATATAACCTTATGTCCTCAATGGATATTGACATTAAATTATTTGATTAAAAGTTTTACATTAAAATTAATGTTAATTTTATATGTTTCCCAAAATAAACTTTTGGTAAGGATTTCTTAATATTTTTAAGTGTTTATGATATTCTTTTTAAGGGTATTTTTGAAATTTAAAACTGGGTTTTCGGTCATTTCAGAGAAAATTAAATACTTTCCGAAAGGTGTATTACAGGTCTTTGTGTACAATTAATGTGGTCTAAAATTAAGTATAGTTGAGGTCTAACAAAATCTACGCGTAAGATGATTATTGAAAATAGAGTAAAGTTGATTTAATGTTGTTGGGCTAATGATTACACCAATGTTACCACTATTGTTTACACACGAGTGTAATTCCACACTAAATCAATAGTAATCTTCCACTCAATTTCAATCAAAATAGTCTTCGTCCTTAGATCCGAAATCGTTAAATCTCATGTTTCATATGTTATTAATACTGAGGTAACGTTACCCCACCTAGTGGATAAGATTTTATAAAGGAATGGAAGTATGGAACCCACATGAAAACTTAAATCTATATGAGGTAACCTTACCTTCATAAGAGTTTAATGTTACCCCTTCCCAATATGAATGAGCCTAAACCATGAATCATCAGGAGCTATAATGCTTCAGTAAAGTGTTACATTACTCAAAATTTATTGTGCTCTGGTCTGGTCTGGTCCCCCAAAAAAGTTACTTCACTTAGAACAGGCAGCCACACTTCCAAAAGGTGATTTGATTCTTTGTGAAGTAAGAAAAGAAAGTGGAACCTTTTCAAGTGCATGTATGTATGGGCAAAGCCTTTTTCTCTGCTCATGTGTGGGTCCAACCTGTTCATGCTATTGCATTTGGCCTATCTTCCACAGATAAACATTACCACTTTATCTTGAACATAACATAAGATTTAAGGATATTGAGCAGGATCGAATAAGAATAACAAACCAATTACTGATGAAAATAACAACAACATATATAAAAGATTATGTGTACATAATAATAAGTTCCATGTGTATATATTTATAACTACATGCCAATATCAACTGTAGCAACAAGAAATTAATGCTTCTAAACTTCAACAGCAATATTGAGTAAAACCTTTTCTCAATATGGCAATGAAAGCAACCTAAGATACACCTAAACTTGAAAACACTTGAGGTTCTGGGTAGGAACCCAAGTTTATATGGGTTTTAAACAACATATTTAACGACTAAATGTGAAAGGAAGAAACCTCACTCAACCCGGCAGAGAAGAACTGTGTTAATTGTAACCTCTCTCCAATGTGTACAGCACTTTCTCCCTTTGTATTAGAGTCCACCACTAGATGGTGGAGGTCGATGCAAGTTCGGATTTGATCTTCAAACGTACCACATCGATACATCCTGCTTTGGGAGAGGATCCATGGCAAAATCGACTGGTGCCATGTTGAATGGTGAGCTAAACCTGAAGTCAGCAATATTATCCCCATGATTGCTGTCGAATGGAGAGTCGAATGATTTGATCTGATCAAAACGAATATCTGCTGGGGAGAAAATGGAGTTGTTAACTGGCAAGTTGGGCTGCTCGGGTACGTCGCCTCCCATCATAACCCCTTGGTTATAGAAGCTATCATCCAGCTGAAATTGAAATTTCTGCTGCTGTTGTTGTTGCTGATGCTGATGCTGGTGCTGTTGATGCTGAGTTTGATCGTCTGTAACATTAAGACCCCCAGGATTCAAGTTCTTGTTACGCTGATGATTAGTATCATAGAAAGACATCAGATCAGAAATCATTTTTTGCCCATCATCTTTGAGTCCGAGTCCAGATACATTAAATTGTGAATGAGCCTGATTTACCAGTGGAGTCGGCGGCTTCTGCTGAGGTGGTTGAGGTAATTGAGCTGGCTGAGCAACAGGTAAAGAGAAGACAGCAGGTTTGTCATTGTTCATTTGAAAGTTTGTCACTCCAAACCCTTGAGAAGAATTGCTACGATATGGGCAATTCATCTGGTGATTGTTCCTCGAAGACCTATCAAGAAATCCAAGCCGATAGTCGCTATAGGGGCACTGCGGGTATTCACAGGTATACATCTTCTGATCCATCATCATGTGAGGCTCATCTGCCAGCTGCTTCCTCTTCAGAAAGAAATCTGGGTTGGTTTCAACAAGCTCTCCCTTAATTTGAGGAGCCAAAGGTTGTGTCATCATAAGCCTCTCCCTTGGTCCCACTGCCCCCATATTGAAGAGATTCACATCACGAGGCTTGACCTCCTCTACTTCAACATTTCGATCATCGTCCACCCCTTCAACATCATAATCACTGGTATCACTGATAACAAAAGACCCACTCCCCCCAGCAGACAAAGGAGGGCAGCAATCAGGATAGAGTTTTCGTGACAACGCTTCTTCTTGATTAATTATAGCCAACCAAGTAGCGCTCTCCTTGGCAGTCATCTTATCCTGCAAGCACTTAGATTGGCGAACAAGCTTTCTGATCTTAGCAATATCAGGTGACATGTGCTTGATGACTGCTGAGAGAACACTCACTTTCCAAGCCTTCTTCAGATCATGAGGTTTCTTGTATGGGGGAGGACCCTGATCCTTAGGAAGACCCAACTGAGGCCACCACTCTTCATTTCCAGTTGGCCACCAGGGTGGTGCAACACCTTTCTCCAATGGAAATCGCCGTTGGGGTGGATCACAGTGCTGCATAAGTGCAGACAAGAGAGATCCAAGTGTAGTGTCTTGAAGCTCCAGTAAGGTGTGAGGGGTAGACACAGCTGCACCACAGTCTTCATTCTTTCCAGGGATAGCATGATCAACCTGGTATTTGGCAATTGCAGCAGGGCCGTTCCGATCAAACCTGACCTTTTCCTTCCACCAAGCTCGAAGATTATCAGAAGCCCCACTCACAGGCTTTCCCTTCTCAGGGATGATTCCATACACGAAACCCTGAGCCTTGCAAACTTCCATCATTTTCAGCATATACTTCAGGATACCATCCTGCGCTCGCGACATCTTCTTCCTTCGAGCTTGCTCCTGAGATTGACGCTGCTTTGCACTGTCTACTCCTTCCTTGCCCTTATTCTGCTCTTTAAGTCGCCTCAAAAGCATCCGGTCCCTCCACATCCTCCTCTCGAGCTCATCCACATCCATTTCTTCATCGCTGTAATCCTCCTCAACAGTCGCCTCTGGTTCTTGCTCTGGAACTGTCTCTCCTTCACAGGGAGGAGCCGAGAGGAAATCGAGGTTTCCACAAAATCCCATATCTTCAAAGATTCCCATTACCAACAGCAACAAAAATCAACACCGACCACAGATCTTTTGTATTGAAAAATCTCACTTTCCGACAATATTAGCCAAAACAATCCCTTTAAAGGCTTTCGAAATCAAGAATTTCCCAATTCAGGATGATCTCGATGCCAAAAAGTAGATCAAATGTGAACACCTGAGAGGAACAAAAAGAAATCCATATTATAAAATCCAATTCACTGAATCAGTTCACTCTACAATAACTCCAATTCAATGAGATAAAAACTCCCATAAAGGCCATAAATTTAGCAAATAGAGCAAGAAATCAAATCATAAATGCAAGACAGAGGACTTTCAAGTTTCAATGATACAAACAACCAGCAAGTACAAACATATAAAAGCCTAGTCATAAAAAGCAACAAAATTAGTCTCAAGAAAGTACAAATCAACACACTTATCCTTACTTTCAAACTTAAAAATAAAAAACAAAACAATAACACAAAATAGACAGAAAATAAACAAAACCAAAAACATAATCAAAACTTGAAAAAATAGAAAAACTATGAGCGAAAGAATTACCAGAACCCAGATCTGCCTGCAGTGAGTCAGTGACACAAACCAGATATATAAAACATAAACAGAAAGGAAGAAAAAAAATAAGGTTCAACTTTAAAAACAAGCCTACAGAGAGATTCTCCAATAATTCAGCAAGAGATAAATCAAAATAACTTTTTTACGCAAAAGCTAAGAAAAGAGGGAAGTGATTGTCTATACAAATTCAGAAATATGAAGTTACAGCCACCCAAACGCAGTCTTAACAAGATAAAAAAATGATTGTAAATCATACTACAAAACAAAAACTTGATACACCCAAAAGGGAAATATCAAAAGAAAGAGACAAAGACAGAGGCTTGCCATGAATTTCAGTGAACCAAAAAATCAAAACTTTACCACTTCTACGTAGTGAAACCAAAAACGAAACACAACGCACTTACTCATTTCATGTACTAATCTCGTACAAACACTTCCAATACAAAACAAAACCAGAAACAAAAACATAACTGGGAAATTAATGAATTAAATAATGAAAAAATGGTGTACCAGAAAACTACGGAATGGTCTGAGCCATAAAAGTTTGTGCGATGATGCTGAGACTGAGACTGGTTATTGAAAGAGAGACAAGAAGAGAGAGAGAGAGAGAGAGAGACTCTGGTTGTGTTTCAGCTTTTTGTTGTTGGTGCTGTAATAGAGAGAGAGGAAAAGGCCAAGTTTACAAAAGAGAGAGATAACAACAGTAACTTTTTTATTTTTATTATTTATTTATTTATATAGAGTATTTAATTTTTTTTAGGTGCAATTATTAACCATGGTCAGGTCTCGTTTTGACTGTGGTTAAGTACTGGACTGGCGTTTGGATATGGAGAGAGTTAAGGTGTTTACTTTATGGGGTTTCATTTGGTGTTTTATATCATTCCCAATTTCGGTCTATTACAAATTTGGAGACACGTGTCACAAATATAGCGGCCACGATTATAATTTAATTTAATGTCTTTGATTTTTAATACTTTGTTACTGAAAAACATTAAATTGAAATTATTTTTACTCGGTTTAATTATATATATTGATTTCACAACCACACTTTGGTAATTATTAATATTTGGAAATGTTTTATGATTTTTCCTTTTTCTATTTTAATTTATATCTAACCAAACAAATAAAATTATACTAAAAAAGGAGGTTAAACGGCCACCACAAAAAAATCTTACCAAATAATGGTAATGTAAAAAAATAATAGAGAGTTTTGTCCAATGATTAAAAAAAATATTAGTGTTAAATTTTTTAAGGATTTATGTTGTTGTATAATTAATTCTTCTTATTGTATCAATCTTCTAAAAATGTTTTTAAATATTTAAGAGATAATTTATTTAAATTTATTTAAAATACAAATAGTTTCTATTGATTTGAATTTTGGACAATAATCTTTTATGTTGTTGAAAATTTTAGGAAATTTTACATAACGTTATTTATAAATTTAAGAACTTGTAACTCCTACTTTTGCTTTAGTAAATTTAAGAACTATCTATCATTTGTTTTTAAAAAAAAAAAATTCTCATTAATTTATTTATTATCACCGAGATTTTTTATTAAATATAACTAGATTACATTAATTTCAACTATATATAAACTCATGTACATTATTAAGTTTCAATCTCAACATTTACGTCACGCAATGACGTAATATGAATTTATGAATACCATGCAGGTTGTATAATTATACGATATATAATAATGTTTAATTAAATTCAAAATGTATTTTAAAATTATGAATATCTTATAAAACTTTATATGTTAAGAATTTAAAATAATTGATATGTAACCATTTAAATAATTGAAACAAATTACAATCTAAAGAATCAAAGTCAATCTTTAAACTAAAAATATGCATCTAAATAGAGCTATAATATTAAAGAAATTACCAACTTTTACTATTCTAAATATGTAAAAAAATCCTAAAATTTTACTACAATTAATAGAAAACTTTATTTAAAAGTTTCTATATAAATAACAAACTTACCTTTCATCTATTTAAAAAAAATCAATTCCCATTAATTTATTAACTTTCTTCCCGACTAAAATTAAATATAAATATATTACATTGATTTCAACTATATATAAATTTATGTACATTATTAAATATCAATCTCAACATTTATGTCATGCAATGATATAATATAAATTTATGATTATCATGTAAATTATACGATTATATGATACATAATAATGCTTAATTAAACTCAAAATGTAGTTTAAAATTATAAATATCTTGTAAAACTTTATATGTTAAGAATTTGAATATAATTAATAAGTAACCATTGAAAGAATTCAAACAAATTACCATTTAAAGAATTAAAGTAAATTTTTAAACTAAAAATATGCATCTAAATAGAGATATAATATTAAAAATTTACCATTTGTTACCATTCTAAATATTTAAAAAAACCTAAAATTTTACTACAATTAATTATTTATTTAAAAAATTCTATTACAAACTTCCTTTATAGGAAGATCATTAATAGCGAAATAAAAAACCTGCCCAATTATAAAAGGGCCATTGTGAAAAACCTTAACAAATAATTCATCGACACGTTTCAATCGTACTATAGGAACCAGTGCGAGGATAACACTGTAGAATTGCCCACCAAAATATAATAAGAGCAGCACAAACGGGACGGCGCGCGAACGTGCAGAGGGGCACCTGAATAGAAGCCTAGCTTCGTGGAAGGGGGTCAATCTCACTATTACATTCAAATGATTTTACGGTTTTGCCCTTCAATCATTTATTATTTCCCCAGATATTAGTGAACCTTTTTGACTGGTTGTAAAATCACAAGCTGCCTGGAATCCCCAAGACTATCCTAATCTTTTAACTTCAGGGGTGTTCTTTGTTAGTTTCTAAAACCATTGGGATTTTTCTGATAACTATTTGGGGTTGCCAATTTTCTATGCTTTTTCTGATTTTTTTTTCTTTTACATGAGTCACGAGAAAGTTTTTGTGCTTGTGATTTTAATAAAGATTGCCTCATCCTCAGGGCATATGTAATTTGTTTTAATTTGTAATTTAATATTTTATTTGATATAATTTACTTCCGTAAATCCCTTTGGAGGAACTTGTATAAGTAGTTAACTGATATATTGTTTTATTTCTTTGTTAACTTTAACTTTTATTTTAAAAGACTAAAAAATTATATTAATTTATTTAAAATCTTTTTTCAATAATGTGTGTTCTTCTTTTATATGTCCCCCACCCTTCCCAGGTTCATCCCACCATCACAAACACTACAACTACTTCCACCACCATTTTCATTTTTCATAATTTATAATTTATAAATTTTAAATATAATAAAACTAAGAGTAAATATATCATTAAAAACATCTCAAAAAAGGTTCAATATCCATTATAAATAGTTTAATTGTTATGTCTTATTATCTCTCATATGCATCTATATGAGTTGATGGATTCATTATATTTTTTTCTTTCAATAAATTGGGTTTACTAAAAGAAAAAAGAAAAAAAAAGACAAATTAAATTTTATTTTTGAGAGCTATTCATATTTAAAAGTTTTTCTTTTAATTTCTAAACATTTTGGATTTGCTACTCAATTTGGTTGAATGGTGGCTTTTGTTACTTTTAATTGCATCAAATTGCTTCCTTTGACATTGGAAATTCAGAGATCTTTCCGAATCAGATTTAAAAGAATAGTTTAATAGGAATTTATGCAAAGTCAAATACATAGTTTAATAATAACGTGATTAACATTTTATTAAGATTTCATAAACTTATCCAATTAAATACAAGTTACAATTACCATTTTACGCTTTTTCTCCTTTGGAATGCATTTTATTTTCATTTTTATAATACGAAAACTTTCTACATAGTATTTTGAAAAATGGTTTCTCCGCAATGAAAATGTGAAAACAAATTTGTACTTTTTTTTTTTTTTTTGCCGAAATTTAAAAAAAAAAAGAAGGTTTCTGTATTGTCCCAAATTCCCAATCCTACTCTTAGCAAACATGGAAAATATTTTTAATTTAACAACAGCTTTGAAAATTGATCTATATTTAAAAAAAAAAAAGAAAAAAAAAACCCATGTTTGTTAAATATGCTTTTTGCTTTTTTTTAAAAGCACAAATTAAGTTAAAACAATAATAAATTCATCCTAAACTACTCAATTAACAAATAACAATAAAATTTTAAAAAAAAATCAATTAATTTAATTTATTTGCGACTTTAATAAGGTCACGAAAACTAGTGGACTTTAAAAATATATTGTTATCCAATTAATTAGTATAAAAAAAAATCTTAGAGTAAGCATTGAAATTATTATTTTGAATGGATCATGAAAATGTTGAAGTCTTTAATTGAAACTTCAAATTGATCAAGGAAAGTAAGAAGAAATGGTGGGGCATTGTCAAAATGACAAGGACGTTTGGATCTTTCACAATCAATTTAATTAAAGTCATTTGGCGCACGTGGTTATTTTAATTTTAATTTTATAGTTCATTTTCAACTTTTTAGTTGTCGTATTATAGTCTAAATGGAACCTTTACATTGGACCAACACAAAGATTATTCCTACGAAGTCTTTTACTTTTGTAATTGAAAATATATACGTGGCAACTAAGGTAGATTTTTTTGAATTTGCAAAGGTACGAGGTCGGCAAAGTTTTCATCTGACATAAGGTTATCAATTTTTAGTATGATTAACAATCTTATCGAACCAATAAAGTTATCATTAAATTCATAAATATTTATTTATATAAAACTTTTATCCTAAACAAAATATAAAATCCTAATTAATTGATAATAAAAGAGATAAAAACAAAAACAAACCTTCACCTCACATATTTATTGATGTACACATTAAATATAAATTTTAAAGAGTGTTAACGGTAAAATCTACTATTTATTTGGAAGGTAATGATCATGTGAGGAATGAGTTATTGACAATCATATAGAGCAGCAGAGACAAAAAGAACAAACGTGAAGTGTCGGACACCGATGTAGTGTATGTTATAGATACTTCGACGCTCAAGTTAAACACGATTATAAACAATTTAGTGAAGGCTAAAAGCGGAAAAGAGTTAACCATAATAGTGCGACTAGGGCAAGACTATCGTAAAGTAGTCGGAGCACAGCTTTACGACGGTTAATTGAGGTAAAGCTAGTTGGAACTAAGCTTTATGGCAGAAAAGGCGGCGGTTCTTGAGAGTAAGAACTTTGAGAGCTACAGCTAGGGGTGTTCAAAAGAACCGGTTGGAATCGGAACCGACGGGTGCCCTAGGTTTGGTTCCGGTTCTTACCCAGAACCAATCGTCAATGAGTAGGTTCTGGTTCCAAATTTTTGGAACCGTTACTGTGCAGTTTCGATTTCGATTCCTATAGTTAGGAACCGGAACCAAGAACCGAGACTAATATAAAATAAAATTAAATATTATGGGGGTTAATAAAAACTTTTGTAGAAAAAGTAATGTGAATACATTTATATTTATATTTCATAACATTTTGTTACAAACAGAGAACTGATTGTAATATTTTTCATATTGTATTGACAAATTATACATCAATATATATAGGAAAATAAAGAACTAATCTAGGAACTAAATAATTTTAATTTAGGAAATAAATATTCTAACTTCCTATTTTACAGATTTGTTCCTAATATGTATTGATTACAATCCTAATATCCTAAATAGTAT